CTGCCCAATCCACAAAACGTAAGACCCCACAATCTGCACTAACTACTGTGCGATCAGCCTCCTCAACATYGCATATAAGGTTCTATCGATCGTACAGTGTGAAAGACTTAAGCCCACCGTCAACAAATTGATTGGATCTTRTCAGTTCGGCTTTAAGTGGTGGAAAATCAATAACTGACCAGATATTCACTATGCGCCATCTTAGAAAATACCCGTAAAAAAAGGATCGAAACACACCACCCCTTCTTCGATTTCAAAGCTACAGAGAGCTGAACAAAAAACTAAAAACTCTGTCAGGATCAGGAAGGACCCGTCCGAGCATTTCGATACCAAACGATGTTTCAGCGAAGGCGACTCCCTATCGTCCGACTTCTTCAATTCATTTTTGGAGAAAATAATGCGAGCTACAGTGCTACATAGAGAATATGTAATCTTCTATAAGAGTTAGTAAGCTTTGCTTTCTCCAGACTGGATAAAGATGGGTAGCGTATGGATTTGGAAGTGAACGAGAGCAAGACGAAATATCTTCTGTCATCGAAGAAAGAGTCGTCGCACTCGCGACTTCGCTCCCACGTGACGGTTAGCAGTCATAACTTCGAAGTCATAGATAATTGAGGCATGAACGACCCGTCAAGCTTACCGATTTCCGTAATATCTTCAAAGCGGAGAACACAATTTTTTTTCTCGCACTGCAGGTCGGTTGTTGACCTAATAACTGGTCACAACCTACGGAAATCACATGGGAGCCGGGTGGGCGTAAGTAATGAAATGCATGCAGGAAGACGCTGGAATACCTCCTATGCTTTTGTTCAGCATTATCTAGAACTTGTTTTAGATATGTTATGTTGGAGCTTGTCAGTTCAGGAGACTAAGCAAAGTATTGAAATTAACAGACCATATCAGACAATCCGTATGACGAATATTTCACCTCGAAATAAACTGAACCTTCATCTGACATTACTGAAGACCAGTAGCTCTATGTGTGGCTTGACAGCCGTCCACTATAACATAATCTAACCGTACCGACAACAGTTGGATCTACGTAACCGGAACGGACCCGGATTTTTATCGGGCCAAGGACTGAGAACTTGGCAGATTGCTCATACTGGAAATAAACCCAGCGGACCACGGATTGTAGGTTTAAAGAGAGAGCTTTAGGAAAAAAAGCACCAACACGAAGTTCTAACTAAATGGCTTTCTTGGACGGACTTTGCAAGTTTCCTTAATTAGGAGAAATTCTCACAGCCAATTGATATCAGTTTCCTTCTCTCATACTGCAGAACWCAGCTGATTAAATTTACTAACGAATTTAGCAAAAAAAAAAAACTCAGTGAACTGTTTTCTATTGCCGTTTCTAGCTTGTTTTCTATTTTTGCTTTATTCGTCACATGTTTTATTTGTAAGTACGCCAACTATATGTTGAAATATTTGAAAATTTTGCACAAAAAAAAATAACAGAAAATATTAAAATCCATTCAACGGCAACCACAACTGCGCTGTAACTCAAAGAGTTTCTTCAGCTGCTCATCTGTACCGAAAATACTATGCTTATTGCAGGCCAACAACAAATCAAGACGATCACAAATCAAAGCGTAAACACCTTCAGCACGATACAAATCTATTGTAGCGCAATCGTCCAGTTGATTACCCCACAAAAACACCCACTTATTTTGACGTACCGCCATCGCCATTGCATTCGGATGTTTGTGCAGCAGGCTAGCATTGGTCGCAATACCATTCAAATCGAATGCTTTTGCTGTATTCATACCCGGCTGGATGCAATGCGTACGTGGATCGGTAAATAGCAACGGTTCCGACTCGAGCAACAACAAAACCGGATAGATATTTTGCTTATAACGCAGCATAATGCAAGTGTCGGCATCGAAGGATGAGAAAATGCAGACGCGTCCCCAACTCAACTGCTTCACTACATCGAGTATGACATCCACATACTTATTCTTGTCCATATGCTGTAGGCACTGTGAACCGCCAGCGTGCAGTTCTTGCGGCCACTTAACTTCTATATTGAAACCGAGCATATTGCTGGTTCGCTCGAAGAACTCTTGCAATGTCGGAAAGAGACGCTCATCGGCATCGCTTACCGTTTCCGGTGCCGGACAGACAATCAAACTATCGCCGACCACTTTGTATGTCTGCATGGCCTGCAATTCGGCGTAAGTCAAGCAGACAATCGGTACGGGAACAATATCACTAATGCTACTGGGTATTGTCGACGAGTCCGGACACATCATTACATAGAAATCATGATATATTATGGGTACTAAATCTTTGGTGAGCATCACATCGAACTCCACCATATCGGCGCCGACCTCAAATGCGCGCTTCACCGAGCTGACTGTGTTCTCGAGTGGCGTTAGCGCTGCATTATGCTCCACAAAACTACGTCCCAGACCGCGATGTCCAATCAGCATGCCCTTCCAGTGGTCGGGCCAAAAATGTGTAAATGTGGTGTTCAACTTCACTTGCCAATTCGGTGTGGGATTTATTATCAAATATTGTATTTCCAATTTAGCCAGCTCCACGGCGGCCGTGTCGGGTGAGAGCAATGTCACATCTAATACACCTTCGCTCTGCTCGAGCGCTTCGGGTGGCAAATAGCTTTGCGCTAACAGACGCACACACTTGGTGGCGCCATTGAATGCAAACAATTTCAATAGAAAACCAACATTTTTCCGATTCAACATATATATCTGATAGATTAGTGCTTTTGCATTGTATGCTATGCCAAAATCTGGTTGAGCCTTCAGCTTACTGTAGCCATATTGCAAAGTGGTGTAAAAAATTTCTGCGCGTGCGGATGTTGCTATCGTTTGTAGGTTCACCGCATCCAGCGGTTCTATTTTCAACTGCATTACTTCGCCCGCCTCAACAAGCTGATCCTTCGCGTTACACTGCAACGCCTCGCCGAACAATTTGAACAACACGATGCTRCCGACATTGAGCCATGCTCGCCGCAATTTCGGWATTTCTGGTGTTATGAAACCGAAACGATCAGCCGTTTGCGCGCACGCTTCCGTTAAGCGTAATTCGCGTGCACGCTCGCCAACTTCCCAACGSCGCAATTGTACGGTTTGTGTCTTCTCATCCAACACACCGATAAAGTAACGATAGCGTATCCATTTATTTAACGGTACCGTTATATTCGCAGTCCACACGTTGTAGTCGTCAGCGCTGCGTTCAAGTAGCGGTGCACCTTGTATCGACCAGCTGCCCAGCGTTTTCTTGTTGCCTATCACGCCGACCAGTTCGTGTTCGGCGATTCGTGCGCCAGCCATTTCCACGGTAAGTTGCAATTGTCCAACTGCACTTTCCGACATTCTCTACTCCAAACTGCTTTGGATAAAGGAGAATCCGCTGTTGAGGTGGGAAAAGTAAGAATTTTTATTTGTTTTTGGTTTTTTTTTTTACGAAAGTTTTGTGTAAATATTTTTTTTTTTTTTTACTCAAGTACTCACTTGCAACGATTGACAACTGTTAAAAAAAAAAAGTTGACGAATAGGGTCCCCTTTTTACGAATATTTATTTAAGGTTACCGCGATATCGTTCGTTATATGGGCTCTTGRAAAGTTCTAGGAAGATCCGACGTTTCGAGCCAAATTTTGTTCAGTGATGAGGCCCATTTTTAGCTCAATGGATATGTAATCAGGCAAAATTGYCGCAATGGGGACGAAGAGCAAGCTGAAGAGGTTCCAAGAGCTCCCATTTCATTGAAAAATAAACAATCGTTTGATGCGGTTTGTGGGGCGGTGGAATCATTGGAACATATTTCTTCAAAAATTACGCCGGCGAGAACGTAACCGTCAATGGCGACCATTATCGCGCCATGATAAAATKTAAGCTCATGACTTCCCACAAATCGCATCAATCAATGGATTTATTGAGGGAATACTTCGACGAACTGAAAACTTCAAGTTTTGGATCCCTTGATTGGCCACCGAGATCGTGTGACATCACACCGCTATACTTTTGCCTGCGGGGATATCTAAAGTCTAAAGTCTATGCGGACAATCTCGCTTCGATTCAGACTTTGGAGCAAAACATCAACGTCGAAATGCTCGAACRAGACATCGAAAATTCCACTCAACGGATGGTCCTACTGAAACGTAGCCGCAGCTAACATTTGAAAGAGATAATCTTCAAAAAATAAACACTAAACAATGTTCTTTCGAATAATAAAAAAAATAGCTCATTAAATTTGCAGTTTCTGAGATTTTTCTTTAAACAATTGCTGAACCTCGAAATGGATCACCCCTACTTTCTACTTTATCTTCACCATAATATTGTAAATATGTAATGAATCGTACCATCAATTTCAAGCCTTAAGGTGTCTTTGAGCAACCTCAGCCACCAAACTTATATTGGCCTAGAATATTTTCATACCATTTGACTAGATTTCAGCTCCCCTGAGAACGTTGGACTAACCACATTTCCATCTTACACTTTTTTATCGGAATAAATGAATGAATGAGAGACCCGGTGACTACTTGGATAAGACATCGAAGCACCTAGATATAAAAACGAAACCAATGAAGGCTGCATCTTATGTCGTAGGTAATCTTGAAGTTTTGAGGAACTAAATTTCTAGRATTKTCACAAAATTCTTTGAACTCACGTCCGTATTTCAAGCTACTGATAACGAAAAGTATTGAAACCTTCTTAACGATACTTTAAAATACTTTGTAGRATSTTCATGGGGTAAAGACGCAGAATTRTGTTTAGGTTAAGCTTTTTCTGAKCTTTTTTTGTTGAGCKTTTTTGCTWAACTTTTTATACTGAAACTATTTGTTGAAAGCTTTATAACTAAGAACTTCTTTCAGAGATTACACAATTTTTCACAGCCATAATAACTCAGAAGCACTCACCGTTAGTTTACCAAAGTTCACTACCACAACGAAACCCTCCTCGGCAGAAACTTGAACCGAAGCACCAAAATTTGTTGTAATTTTCTGAAAAAGTGCAAAATAAACCACACAAGAAAATAAGGAACATTCAAACCAAGTTTTACTTSTTGTATAACAATAAGCCTACAAACAAATTAACMCTAKGCAAAATAACTACAACAAATTCACATTACTAAGTATACTCTCGATAGTTGAGTTCACAGGCTTCTGCTGATGCGGCGAACATTGCAAACGGAAGAAATCAGGCAAGTCAGCATCGAGCTCGAAAGCGCTGCGCTTATTCGCTGCCAACCATAAGTCCACACGATCATAAATCACACCGGTTGGAGCTTGCGCCTTGAACCATTCAATCGTTTCAGTATTCTTGAGCTCATCGCCCCAAAGGAAGACCTTTTTACCCTGCTTTGCCGCTATTTCAATCCATTTTGGATCGTTCTTTATGTGTACAGCATTTGGCACAATGCCGGCCAAGTCGAAAGCTTGCGCATTATTAATGGTGTCGTACAGCGTGTCTGCGCGTGGATCCGCATAAACGCCGAGTATGGTGGATGAGAGAAACATGACCGGATATATATTCTGTTTGTAACGCAACAGCGTGCAAATGTCGGCATCAAAACTTGAGAAGAAGCTCAGACGGCCACAACCGTGACGCAACATCACATCCAATATGCGGTCCACATAGGTATTCTTATCGATAGTTTGTACGCTCTCGCGCTCACCATTCAATATCAGCTGCGGCCATTTGATTTCAATATTGAAACCGACCGACTTATTCACTTTGGTAAGGAAATCTTCGAACAGCGGGAAGAGTCGTTGATCCTCTTGCTCCACATTATTGTGCGCCGGATATTCGATGATTTTATTGCCCACCACCTGATAGGTTTTCAAATTCTTTAACTGCTCATAGGTGATATCCTTGATTAGTACTTCGGTGAGATCAGCTTTGCTAGTGGGCGTCTTGGGATCCATACAGACATAAATATAGTAGTCATGGTAAATCACTGGCACCAAATCGCTAGTTAACATCACGTCAAATTCGACCAAGTCAGCGCCCAGCTCCGTGGAGGCCTTCATAGACGCCACCGTATTCTCAATTATTGCTGGCGCATTAGTTGCCTGCTTCAGACTCTTACCCAAACCACGATGTCCCACATCCAATGACGTCCAATTGCTGCGCCAATAATCCACAAAAGAAGTGTGAAAATCGACAGACGAGTTCGGTAAGGGTTTAATTACCAAATACTGTACATCCAAACTGCCGATAGCATTCAGCCACACGGGCGATAAGAGATTGATGYTGAAACGGCCTTCGGTGCCTTTCAAAAACTCCGGATAAATATACTGATAGCCTATCAGACGCACAAGCTCATTATCATTCTGTGTCGCATACAGCTTCAACAGATAGGCGACATTATCCAGCTGCGACACGGTCGTCTGAAATATCAATATATCGTTGGGCTTGTAGGGCACACCAAACTCCGGTTGCGTACGCAAGTAACTGTCACCGTACACCATACGCACATACTCTGTGTGCGCCTTCGCCGAGGGCAATATTGCGGACAGGCGACACGGCTCGACCGGCTGCAACTTGAAACGCAACTCCTCATTACCGGCACTCGTTTCATTCACATGCAAGGGATTGCGAAACAACTTGAATTGTACAATATTGCCCGCATTCAACCAACCGCGTTGCARTTCACGCCGCTGCGGATCGATCCAACCGCAGGTATCGCTGCGATTGCCCGMAACAGTGCCCACTTGAAAGCTGCGCGCATTGATATGGGATTCCCAGCGGCGCACCTGTATCACAGCAGTTGCATTGTCTATGGCCGCAATGAAGTAGCGATAATTGATGGTGGTGTTCACCGGCAGCGCTACGCTGGCCGTCCACACACGATGATCCTGCGTGCGATT